AATAAACCACATTGAATTAATCATGCAAAACGCCATGTGTGAATGTTTTTCAGATCACATCATATTCGAATAGATAAGGTGATGGAAGTATGACAGATTAGAATTCAGATCAGATGAATTACAGTTCAGCCACATCACTTAGACAAAAAGTACGAATGAACATAAAATAAGGTCTCTGAAGGATAAGAATGAATATTCTGAGAAGTTCATTAATAAATTCTCTAAGGAGATGGGGCCCTGCAAAACTAACCAATCAGTTTCAAAAAAGTCTATCTATATCAGTTTGCCACTCAAAGAAGATGATGTAGAAGAAGTAGTCAAACGAAAACTCGGTAAAGCTATCAAGAGAACTTATTTTCTAACAACACCAACCGAGTGCTCGACACTTCAAACTACGTATATCAATTTGATGAGTGTGTTTGTGGAAGGAAGTAAATACATAGGTCGCACATAAAGGCGATCGTCTACTCGCAAGATGGAGTGTTCACCAAAGTGGAATAATAAAGAGTTAAGAGGTGAGAAAATAAATAAGTTAAAAGACCGCCATATTAAAGGTCAAAATAACAATGTAGATCCTCAAACCAAAGAAAAGTGAGTTAATAGTACATCTACCCTGGTACCATCAATACAGAATTTACCAAGGAAGTTGATTTAATGTGATGATGAATTTTTGCTCTGGATTCATAAAGGCAGTTTAAACTTCGCAGCTACAGCTTCAACAAACTTTAATGTACGCTGTTTCCTAAAACACGTTTTATAGATAAGTTTAAAAGACATGTGTTCACGTCAATTTCGTATTCTTCCTCTATAATATGTTTCGCAGTAGAGGAGCTAGGTCTCCTGTTGTCACCATTAATGGGTTCTGAGGATTCCATTTGTTTCTGGAGCCATTTAGGAATATGCTCTGAAGCCAGTCCTTACTTTGGGAGATCGATGAGTCCTCCCTTCTATGTATGTATGTATGTGTGTCCACACGTACATTCAAATTGGCAAATACAGTGGGATGTGATGTCATTTTTTTTCGCATGTTCTAAGGGCTTAAATGGATGGATGGATATATTGGCTTCACATTTTCAATTATTATTATGATATTAGCTGCATAAAAAGTCTTTCTTCCTGACAGCAGTGTTCAGTCTTTTTCAAGTCAGTAGGCTGTTTTAATCACCCATATAATAAAATGGCTTGATGTACACGTCTTTCTTAGCGGCGTGTTGGAAAGTGTGTCTTGGTGTTCTGACCACTTTATATCTCTTAATGAACTTCTCTGAAAAATTCTTATCAACCAGAGTTTGTGTCAAGCTTTTTCTTCTTCATCGAATATGCCTTCAGTGCCTATTCATTGGAGTCTACTGAATAGGCTGAGATTTTTTTGTACCCAACAGGGCAAAAACTGCGATAATTAAGATATTGTCCAATTCAGGTAGTTTTTCTGTAAATAGATCGTGTTATTGACCCATCAAGTCGTCGACTAAGCACATGTCATTTGGCATGATTAATTCAATGTAGTTTATTTACTCACTTATCAGTTTTATATCTTCCAATGTATTTGAAATAATATTAGAAATATATCCCTGTATGCCGAGTATTTAGCTAAGGAGTTCAGTTCTACCGACATTTGATGAATTCATTAAGCCCTGCTTTATTAACCTTTTTTAATAGCTGGCTTCTCAGAATTAGATTTATTTTGACAGGTTTATCATGGAGGATTGATATCAGTTAGAGAATCATTGAAAACCAGACACAGGGAGTACTGCCAGACAACTAGCTGTTTCATCAGTCTACTTTGAGAATCATCGGTAGTACGTTCCCACCCCACTGTAAGGGTTCAAACCCAGGACCTACCGGTTACAAGGCAAGCTAGCTCGTATACCATCTAGCCACTGGGACCCAATTCAATGACCCTTTTTCGTTGTTTATTTTAAGGAATAAATAGTAATAACAATTAATGTCAGTAGAAAGTTTGAGCATTTTGGAATAGATCAAATAAAGAATAATTATATTTCAATAGTTTACACACACAATAATAAGTTTTGTTACTGGTAATCTGGACGTTCAACCCGTGTATTTAGTCGGACACTCAACACAAGATATTTTGTAAATCACATTCCTTTTTATCCATCATTTTTATGGGATATTTCAATTGATTTATTTTATTTTTAATTAGATCCGTCGGTATAAACGTTATGAGAATCCTAATATTTTTGTGGCAAATTGAAGCAGTTCGAAGAAACCTCAATAATATTGGGATTTGCAGCACGTTTAAACCGACGTATCTAATCAAAAATAAAGTAAATCAACTGAAAGATCCCGGAAAAATGCTGGATAAAAACAGAAGTGTGATTTACAAAATATCTTGTGCCAAGTGTCTGACTAAATATGAGGGTTTAACAGCCAGATCACTCAAGATAAGACTGAATGTACATATAAACGCCTAACTAAAGGTGTCAACCATCAGGAACACAACTTTACAAGAATTTAGAAAAAATTATTCATCTATAGCTACACATGCATGGTTAAAAACCACAATATCGATTGGGACAATGCGTATGGTTATCCCACAAGGTTCATTGAACGTAACATCAAGAAAGGATCCGCCCCGAGACAAGTCACAGTACTAAAGAAAAAGCTGTTTATGAGTCTTGCATTCAAAGGTGACACCATTTCAGAATTGATTAAAAATCGTTTATCTAAATGTGTTAAACGCACTTTTCCTGCAGCTGACCTGCAACTAGTTTTTACCAGCCGAAATATGATCAGACAATGCGTCAAGGATAGATTACCGCTTTTGTCCACATCTATGTGCATTTACTCTTTTACTTGCTCTTGTGGAGCTGTTTATATTGGACGTTGTAAGCGTAATCTCCGAAAACGTGTAGCTGAAGACTATCCGGTTTGGCTAATTAATGAAAGGCGAACGTAGAACTGCGAAGTCGTCTATTTGTGATGATCACCTGTTAGAGTCTGGTCATTTAGCCCCACGTGATTCATCTTTCAAAATTATCTGCATGGCAAAATCGAATCGATCCAAAAGTTTACGTTTTCTTCACTTATGCATAGCTAGCCGGAGCTTTAGCTATACATGAACAGAAACCTAAATTATGTGTGTTCAAAAACGTTTTGTCAAACCCCTTTTTCTTTACCGTGGTCATAACAACGTTCTTTATAGTTTTTATTTTATTTTACCACTTGAATTCATTCCACTTCAATTCACATCTTCATTCTTATCGTAATCGTACTCCTAATTTTCAAAATTTTTAGACAACACTTGACATTTTTGTTATAGAACAATCTTTAATATTTTTGTAATTTATCCACTTCAACTCTACCCTTTATAACTTTTATCACACATATACGTACATTGACTGAGTAATTATTTAGTGCCACTTAATAACCTTTTTCTGTAATATAAATACGACTTTACAGTTGCTTGAAAATGAAGTCGTTGAAAAGAAATTTCTTCGCTGAACAAAAACTGTGTTTTTACTTGTGAATAAATGGGTATTTTTCGTGACAATGCGTATATTCTAAAAACTAATATGAACTAATTTGGGAATCATCGGCGGTACTCACCCACCGTGGTCGAACCCAGGACCTTCCGGTTACAAGGCAAACTGGCTCGTATACCATTCAGTCATTGGAACCCGATTCAGTGATTCATGAATTCCTACCTCTACCAATTCCTGATTTGGCACAACCAAAAACTAACCTTTACAAACCAAACTATAGGAAATTAATCTGATGCTCGTTAGTGAGTGGCTTGCTACAGGATGGAGTTTCCTGGAGTCAGTTCCAGTAAGAAGTCGTGACCAGTGAGGTCTATTCAGATGTCATGTGTGTGGATGGGTGTCTCACCGACGAGATTGGCTGGCGTAGCGCTACCCCACGAATTAGTAGAAGTTAGAATTCATTGAGTGGCCACTGAAACGGGTCCCAGTGGCTGGATGGTATACAAGCCAGCTTACCTTGTAACCGAAAGGTCCTGGGTTCGAACCCTGGTGGTGGGTGTGTACTGCCGATGAATCTCAAACTAGGCGGATAAAACAGCTAGCGTCCAGTACCCCTTGTGGCTGGTTTTTATTGGTTCCTTAACTGATATCAAACCTCCGTGATCAACTCGTAAAAACGGAACTAACTCTTTCAAATCAAACTATAGAAAATATGTACTAATGGAAAGAGAGACTATTAATAACAGAATCTATATTCATTAAGGTTACACCGGATACATGTAACAAGGGTGACTCAGCAGCACAACTGTCAACAACCTGGAATATAATTCTCAATACAAAAACATGAATGAACAAAAGAAAATGAACTATAAATATATGAGTGGAAATCATAAATGTGTGAACAAAACAATTCCAACAGCAGTTGGTGTGAACACGGGTAGTAATTTTGCTCTAAAAATTACCAATAGCAAAGCTTATCACTGTGTGTAAACTATTGAAATATAATTATTCAAGTGTTGTTTTGTAGGGATTTGATTGATTGGTTACAGGATTTCATCATGAGCTGACATCGGTTGGTTAGAGAACCATTGAAAAACCAGCTGGGAGTACTGGACAGCTGTTTCGTCCTAGTTTGGGACTCTTCAGTAGTACGCAATGACCGGTAGTTACCTGGGGTTCTAGTGAGAAGTCGTGACCAGTAGGTTAGAGCTGGTCGGGTTTAAGGACAAATACTCCCTGAAGACATTGGCTAGGCGTCGCGCTATGTCGTGAATTGGCAGAAGTTAGAATTCATAGGCTGGCCCTTGGATCAGTTCCCAGTGGCTCAGTGGTCTCTGAGCTAGCTCGCCTTGTAACCAGAAGGTTCAGGATTCGAATTCCAGTGGGTGCATACTACTGGAAATATAATTATACTTTATTTGAAGAAATAATAATAATACTATTAATGGTAGTAATAATAGTAGAAATGATTTTTTAGGCGTGTTTAACTAATCTACGCAAATCCATTGAATAGATCCTGATTCGTGTTCTGTTTTTTTTTGTTACTATTGTCAGGAAGTGAATGGAACTTATAACTTTTGGGATTTAAGTGATAGTGAAATACGTTTATTGGATAGACGATCACAAATAGATTCATCAAGAAAATATTGGCCACCTTATCTTAGCTCGGATTATCTGTATCCAGGTGAAACAAATTTTGAACCAACAAATTGGGATTGGTTACGTTTAAATGCACTTGGTCCTGGTTGGGAAGAAGTATTGAAAGATGTACCAGTTACACGTAGAGAAGCATTAAATTTACTTGGTAAAAATATTATATATATATATATATATATATATATATATATATATATAATATATATATATATATATCTTTTAATCTCTGAATTTATGATATTGTAATGTTTTAAAGGTGGTATCTTAATGACCCAGTTAGGACTGGAAAAAAGTGCTTGTAAGCAACTGAAGACTGTCTAACAGAAACCGCTGGTAGTCAAAGCATGGCCATATGTGGATCTGTATAAACTGTAGTATCTCACAATAGTTTCATTATGGGTAAAATTTATTTTGCAAAAGTCTCACAGTGTTACACAGTAATATTTTCTGTGTGACCACATTTCGAGCACGCCAATTTATTACTGTAGCTCATAATCCTATCGAGGCAATACTCACACAACTTTCTTAATTCGTTTATAGAATTCCATTATTTTCCATCACTTGATTTTATTGGTAGTAATATTTTCCATATTTCTAGTATGAGTGATAAGTCATTCCCATTGCACGTGTTGGGTGTAGATTATTCGATGAACAAGGATTCAGTAATCGCTCTCCACCGACCTAGATTACTTTTTGGAACTAACTCTGTCCTACCTTATTTTGTGGTTGTGTGTCAATGTATGCAGTTCAATTGCTAAGGTACTCCAAATTACTCATCTTCGCGGGGTCAACCATCCTAACCTTCACTAAATTCTTATGTTCCGACAATCTGACCACCTTCGACCTACTAGTTTGACTTCTGTAGTTTACCTGACTCACAGTTATTGCAAGGTATTTTGTAAATTACAATAATTTGTCTAACTGGGTCAACCTACTGGGTCCCTTAAGTGGCAAAGTTAATCTTTAGACACCACCAACAACCAATCAGCAAACGACCTTGAATGGACCAATCACATTAAAGAGGCATATACGATGAATGGAAATGTATATTTGTAGAAAAAAGCATAAAATAGAGAATAAAAAAGTTACATGGGAGAGAAACATCTCCCAGTTTAGCATGGGACTGTCAATGGAGAAGTTACACCATATCCTGTACATATATTCATCCAAATGACTATAAATGAGATCCATTTATAGCCCTTATCCTATTTTTCAACCTGCCCCAAAATCCTTCAATAGAATTTGTATGTGTCCTCGTAACGGGATCCACAAAATCACTTGAATGGTTGACTCTATGATGAATATATCCCAGAGATGACAGCGAATTGTAGCCTTTCCACTTGTCCGTGTGTATAATTGACCCCCGCTTAACAAGTCTGGTAATAATAGGTATAAGAGTAGTTGCTTTTCTATCTGCTATCCTTTCGACGAATCCCTTTCGGAGGGAGGTGTTGTACAAACCTATTACCGTGCTGTTCTCACACCCTGTTTCAACACCCATTAGATGCAGATATACAAAATCTGGGTTAGGGAGAGAAGCGACCTAGCGAAAAAAGTTCCTACGAAATATTAAAATTATCAGCTTAACCTCTCTAGTGTTAGCAGGCTTCAAACATATAGCACAACGATGAACAAACCCATCAGTTGATTTGGTATAGCTTTTTAAAGTCATAATACCAGCAAAAAGACAAATTCGCTCTTTCTGGAGCAACTCAAATCCAGGAAATACAGGAAAACACTAACCTCCTCGAATTGCAACAATAGCCTTGTAAGGTCACGCATCAGAAATGAATCAAGCGCTATACAACATTGAACTGCGTTCGTGAACCTCATTGGATAATTCGACATCCTTCGTGAATCTCATTGGATAATTCGCTGATTGGTAGTTAGTGGTGTCGAAAGTTTAACTTCGCCCCTTAAGCTACAGAGCTTGTCGCTGAGTGAGTTTTAAAGCTTTAAACGCCACTCTAATTCCTGTTTTATAAAGATTCCTACGTAGGGTCTCAGATGTCCCCTCCTAATATGGTTAAACTACTGTAGATATCTTATATTCTTCCTTATTTATGCTATCATTATTATTGGTTTCACCATTATTTTTATTTTGCTTTTGACCTTTTCTGATCTTCCTAATGAATTTTATGGGATAGTTAGTTATTTAACACTAACGCTTCTTCTTCTACCTGTTTTATTTCAACATTTGGGTCTTTTGTTGTACTACTTAGTGCTATTGCTCAGTTTGTTAGACATTAAACTAAGCCTGTCTTTACAGACTACGGATGAGATGAATTAAAGTCTAAATATCTCTATTAGATCTACCTATTTAGTAGATCAAATTTAGTCAAATTGTTGGAACACAAGATTACTGGTGGCTAAGGTTAGAATGGTAATTTAGAAAGAACTCAGTAACTGGACATTAACACACAACCACACAATGGGGGTGGGGTGGGAGAAAGTTAAACTTCTAAACAGTATTCTAGGTAGATTGACGGAGAGTTTAATTACTGAATCCTTCTTCATCGAGTCTGCACCGAACACGTGCAATAGGAATGACTCATAACTCATACTAGAAATATGGAAAATATTACTACCAATCAAATCAAGCAATGGAAAATAATGGAATTATATAGACGAAGTTAGAAAGTTCTGTGAGCAGTAATAAATTGTGCTCGAAACGTCTGTATCAGGAAATATTTCTGTGCGACACCATCAGACTTTGTAAAAATAAATTTTTACCCATAATGGAATTATGCTACTACTCTACCACTGTGCACAATTTTTATTCTTATATCTCACGATAGATTTGGAGAGTGACTGAAGTTGTTTGAAGACCGTTCAGTGGTTCTTACTGATGAATTCACTCACGTCAACCTATAGTGGTTCTTAGCCTGATCGTAATTATCTAGACAATGGATGTTCACTTTTCTCATTTTGCCAAGAGGTCATCAGTAGTGCACCTGATTTGCCTTGGATCACAGAACCAAACCAGTTCAAATTACTCGGCTTCTGGCTAACCGGTTTTGTCGACCGATGACACGATTATTCAAATCGTAAACCGGATACAAAGCTGATGAACTCTTCTCTTAAAATAGCGAAATGACTGTACCGTGTTTAAATCACTCCTGCCTGGTTGGTGTGAGTTGTACACGACTACTCATGCTTAGTCAGTCAGTAGTATCAACGATATAAAAGTACAAGTATTTAACGATGGTGGCGATGAGACTGATGAAGATCTTAGGATAACATAAATATTTTAAACAGCTTACAGTCATTCTTTAAGATTTCACCTGTGTTTAAAGATTTGTATAATAGATTAAAGGTTGAGGAAGATCTAACTAATTTAGAAGGAAGGAAAGGTGGCTACCTAATGGAAGAAAGAGTGGTTAACTTGTCAAGCTACCAAAGAAGGGAGATTTACACCCCTGCAAGAACTGGCGTGGGATAATGCTCTTCTCAGCGCCAAATAAAAAAAACTAAGTCGCATCATCCTGGAGAGAATGAAGGATACACTGGATGCAGAACTCCGCCCACCGGAACAAGCTGGATTCAGAAAAGGCAAATCATGTGCTGATCAAATTGCAGCTCTATGCATCATCATCATAATAATAATAACCGAACAAAGCATAGATTGACAGTCAGCCAGCCCTGTCTACCTCAACTTCATCGACTTCAACAAAGTTTTCGACAAAGTTGACCGAGAAGTAATTTGTAAATTACTTCAAAACTGTGGAGTGCAGTGGCCCCAAATCATTGTCAACCTCAGTCAAGAGCTGGCTGTATGACAATGCCTGCAATGTGTCAGGTGATCACCGAAAGAAAACTAAGCGAAGCCTGGCTTTGAAGTTAATACGGGTGTAAAACGAGGCTGACCGACTGCCTGTTTTCCCTGGTGATGACATTCCCAAATGTGACTGATTGGATCATACGTCAGACTGTGTGTCGCAAACACAAACTCGAAGACTTGCAGGCAGGCATAAACGAACAAACTGGTTGGAGAAGCAGTGTATCGAAGACAGGATTGAATTCGACTGAACATAAAGAAGACGGGGGTGACGAAGATAACTAACCAACAGCGATAGGAACTGCAACAGCGGCAACAACAACAGCAGCAATCACCGTCAACGGGAGTAATCTGATATAGGTCGCTTCCTTCACTTATCTGTCCAGGAAGCATGGCTCCAACCACAGGCAAGCAGTCGGACAGCACGGATGAAGATCTCAAAGACGCTTAGATAGTGTTGGTAAAGCAAGATGCATCTTCATCAAGCTGAAACCAGTTTGATAATCTTCTGCTTCATTCAGCCAGCCAGCATGAAGAAAAAGATTTGGATTCTGTTCAACACAAATGTGAAGTCAGTCAGTCAGTTCTTCTGTAAGGGTCAGTAGGTTAGCGCCAACGTCCCTAAATTGGTTCCAACAGCCAACTGCAGGCTCTTATCAACAGCTGCCCCTTCTCTGGCTCTTTAGTCATAGCAAGATGACCGGCGAGAAGGAATTAGCAATAAAAAAATCTGCAGTGGAACCAACCAACCAACCAACAATGAGCCGGTCACTCAACAAGTATGTAAAAGAAAATGGAGGCGGATTGCGTATACGCCACTGAGGAGACCATTGAGTGATATCGCGCTCAGTGTGAGCCATCGCACGAGTAGCGCCTGAATGGGAAGTGACTCGTGGGCTGTCAATGTCAGGGTGACAGTGAGGGGATGAGAGGTTATGGGTAATCGTGGGTCAGGTCAGCTGAGGAGGATAGCGTAAGATAAAATAGAGTGGAGATTTGCTGTCGAATCCCTGTGTTGCACTTTGGATCAAAGGGAATAATAAATAGTAATAAACTGGCTTACTGACATGAAAAAATTGGAAACTACTCACTCCATTCAGTAGTGTCATTTATGGCATCAAATGGATCGCATATTGAGATCTTTGAAGTAGTTTATATTCATATTTTCTGAAGCATATTTTTCTATATAGATGACAATTCATTGACTAGAACCTTACGTTAAATAATTATCTATATTGTTGGGTAGTCATTCTGTACTCCGATCTCATTTAGGCAAGAGCTGGTGCAAGCCATACAGTTTTCCATGACCAGTCATCATGCAACTACACTACACAAAAGTACGATCAGCAAGTAACCGGCTGGTTTAGTCTCATTGATCAAATTGACCACTATACTGTAAAGGAAAAAAACACACCAAACTATTCAAATAGTTTCAAGGAATTCGACCACAGTTAAAATGTTCTTCTGCCACCCGATTCTCTAATTTCCGCAAGAGAAATGAATTCCTGCTCTAACAACGCCCGTTATTTTGATTGAACACTAGTAACTAGTGTGATGTGTGTAGTCCTCCTATCTTTGGTGCAGACCAAATTCTATCAGTCAGGTTTCCAATGTGGCCACTATGCTAGCTGGTTTGCCATCACGTTGCACACTGATTTGTTGATATTAGATAGTTGAAGGCAATCAGCAGGAAGCCTTGGAGCTAGGTAGTTGGCCCTCCTGAGATTCGAACCCGCAACATCCAGTGCTGCAGCCAGACAGAGACGTTGCCACTGAGCTATTCGGGCTCACGATTGGCCTCCTGTAGGTCTGTAGTGGATACTTTGATTGGACACGATTAATCAGTGTGGTGTGTCTAGTCCTTTCGTTGTTTGGTGCATACTGAATTCTATCAGTCAGGTTTGCAATGTTGCCGATTGCCTCCAACTATCGAATATCATCACACGCCTAATGTATCTCAGTTATTAGAATTTCACTTAAGTCATTAGACAGTTGGATGTTTATAAATCTCAACTTTAGATAACCATCATTTTGGTAAAATGTCTGGTCAGCTTAGGCAAACCTCTTTAAGTTGACTGAAGATATATAACTTTCTTTACATAGTTCCCCCTAGTTTTCTGTTTCTTGGTCTATCCTAGTTAAAAAGAATTATATTGTATCATGCTGTGAAATACTCCTGCTGTACACCAGTGGTAATTCATTTTTTAAAATGGCTATTGCATTTAACTGTATCCGAAGAGTTAAAGATGGTTATAGTTTTTTATTATAAAACTGTTTAGTCGGCTTAAGTTAAGTCGGCTAAGCATCATTAACTACCACCAATCAGCGATCGACCTTGAACGCACCAATCACATGAAGAAGACATTTTTAGGTATGCAGTACATATATTGATAAGGGAAAAATGCATAAAAACTGTTTAAAAGCGTTACATAGGATACCTTTCTCTCATATGTGATAAGAATATCTCCCAGTTTGGCATAGGAGTATCAATGGAAAAGTTATACCACATCCTATACATATATATTCATCTAAACGACTATAAATGACATCGCTTCTGTTTTTTAACCTTCCCTAAAGGCTTTCAAAGGAATCGATGCGGGTCTCTGTAATGGGGTCCACAAAGTTATTAGAATGTTTGACTCTATGGTGAATACATATTCAGGGGATGAGAAGGAGTTACAACCTTTCCACTCATCTGTGTGCATTATAGATCCTTGTTTCTCCAGTCAAGTGATAATATGTATAAATTTACTTGACTTTCTGTCTGCTGTCCTCTCGATGAATCCTTTCTGTAAAGAGGTATCATATAAAACAATTATCCAAACATTGTTTTTTCGCTGACAAGAAGATTCATCTACGACGACACCTCCTCCGAATAACGAAGTAATTCTCCCCATTTTTTCCACGAGGCGATATCTCCGCAGTGTTGGTACCACTGAACTGTTGATACGAGACTGTCTGTCTGTTTTCGACATAGAACTTTGTACAAATGTGCGGCAGTTGAAGTCGCCACACTTCCTCCATGTAGCACACAAAGCAAGAGAAGAAAGTAGAAGAAATGCATAATAGAAACAGTAAACAGAGGTGTGAGACAAAGGAATAGTAGTAATAAAGAACAATATAGTTTCATCGGAAATCATAAGTCACAAGGAGTGAATGCATCTGAGCTGTCATTGAGAACGATTTTGAGCCATATCACCAACTGTTTCCAATCATTGGTATCTACCGTCCCGAGGACCCTAACCAGGAAGTCTTCACCTTTCTACGTGGTTTAGACTAACTGTTGTGGATTTCACTGACTGGTGCAGTGTTTTGGTTTGACCACCGCTAGCTCTTTTCCAGCCTGACCCTATGTGAGCTAACATTGACCATTGTCGAGGAAGGTGACGACTAGGCATACGTAACACATGTCCTAACCATCTCAGTCGATGTAACTTCACAAACTCGTCTATTGATTTCCCCTGCTTACCTAGAACTCGACTCCTAACCTCAATATTGCTCACCTTATTATACCACTTCGCACGGGAGATAGAACTCAGGCACCGATGATCAAAGACAGCTAATCTTTTCATGTCTTCCACTCTCAATGGCCAGGTCTCGCTCACAGCCATAAAGAAGGACGGAGCGAACTGATGAGCAGTACAGCCGTCCTTTGGTCGATAGTCGGATATCACGCCTACGCCAGAGACGGCGTAAACTGGCGTATGTGAAACTGGCCCTCTGTATCTGTGCTGAGATTTCGTCCGAGATCAATCCGTAGGGGCTATTTCCAGTTTTAGCAGTTGCAACTCTCACAGGCTGTTTTAAAACGCAGTCATTACAAATATTAAAAATATGGGTTAAAAACAGATGGAATCTAGCGAAAAATGTCCCTACAAAGTACTAAAGTCATCAGCTTACCTTCTCTGACAATAAATCATCTCAAACAAAATTGCCCAACGATGAATATATCCATCAATCGACCTGTTGAAGGTTTTGATACTCATGACACCTCCAGATGAACAAATCCTTTCTTTCCTAATCAAACCCAAATCCGGGCATTACTGAAGGACACTTGATCCTCACCAAATGGCTAACGCAACTGCGTTACAGCAGGTATTTGACTTGAATCCAGCGGGATAGAAGCTTCGACTCAATGTGAATAAATCTCATTGGACCTTTCAGGGTCAATGGTGTGGTTGCACTCGATTGGTGGTAATTAGTGATGCTTAGATTTTAACTTGGCCTTTAATCCTGACAAAACAGTTGAGTACTGGTGTATAGAAATATTCCTGGCCAGATGGAGAGGACAGCAGGAAATAGAAGAAAGTGGAAATGTGTTGTTGAAACCATATGTTCCACTGGGAACCCAAGAGAATATTAAATGATAAATATAGTATGCAAATTTTTAAAATATATTCAAAATCCTTATGTAACGACATCATAAAGCCTTCGAGGAAACTACTGTCTCTTATATCGATTTATTTTATAAATAATCATTTACAACATCTCAAAGTAAAAGGTGTAAGATATAAGGAATCACTGAGCAGCGACCTAATAATCAGTTCTTCAAAGTTACAAGGATTTCATCATGAGTTGACATCAGTTAGAGAACCACTGAAATACCCAAGAGTACTGGGCAGCTATTTCGTCCCCGTTTGAGACTCTTCATCAGTGCTTACCCACTGGATTTCGAACGCAGCACCTTCTGGTTACAAGGCGAGCTAGCTGGTAGACCATTAAGCCACTGGGACCCGACCGATCCGATGACCAGTCAGTGCATAAATTCCAGCTTCTGCCAATTCACGATACAGTGTGATCACTTCGCAATGTCTTCTTAGATGAGTTACTGACTCACCTTCAACCTCCTGTACCTTACTAGTTACGGCTTCCCACTAGAACTCCAGGTAACTAACCTCCTGATTTGGGCCCGTGGCTGGTGAGCATCAGATTAATTTTGAAGTACTAGTTTTGTAGGGATTTAATTTGATTGGTTGGAGGATTTCATCATGAGCTGATATCATTTAGAGAACCAAAGGAAAATCCGATAGTACTGGACAGCTGTTTCATCCTAGTTTTGGGAATCATTGATAGTGCACACCCACCACCAGGGTTCAAACCCAGGCTTTAAAGTAAAAATAGAAGTTTTAAATTACATAATGCTCAACGGCACAAAGGAAAAATGTATTAAAAATTCGATAAGGTTAAAACTATTATTGAGTGAGAAGAAAGGCGGTAGTTGGGTGTCCATTTAACAAGTGTGAACAAGATTGCAAAATGTACACGAGGAATATGTGAGAGTGACAATAATAATGAATTAATTATCAAAGCAAAAGCAAACTGAAAATTAAAAAAAAAAGTCCACAAGGAATGACTAATGGAGAGGTTAAGACCATGGTAGAATAAGAGACTGGACAGTCATTTTCTGTAAATGGAGTTCCGCGTTGTAATGCAGAATTGCCAGCACCTCCGCCATACACAAATGCCGAAATCTAACACCCTTTGTACTATTTAGCCTCACTTTATAGATAATCTTGAAAGACAACTCATCCCTTGATACGATCAGCATAGCTTCGCCTAATTATAACTCGGTATTGTAACGTATAACTTATTTCCCACTGAAATGAAGAAGACACCTTACAGTAATTTTTTAACTGTAGATCGCCATCATGTAATGAAACATTTGACCGGACACTAGTAACTAGTGTGATGTGTCTAGTTCTCATATCTATTGATGCAGACTGAATTCTATCAGTCAGGTTTGTGATGTGGCCACCATTGTAGGTAGCTGACCATCACGGTGCACACATTGATTTGATGATATTAGGTGGTTGGAGGCAATCCGCCATATGAAACCCTATCAGAATCATCTTTCGTACTATCTGGCACACATCAGTCAACAAGGCGTATCTGCGACCATATTGATGGAACTTATGTACCTTGTGAGATTCGAAGCGGCATCATCCAGTGCCGCCTGCAGTCAGAGACATTACCACTGAGCTATTCAGGCTCGCGATCAACCCCTGTAGGACTACATTTGATATTGTTTGATTGGACACTAGTCACTAACTAGTGTGATGTGTTTAGTCCTCCTATCTTTGGTGCAGACTGAATTCTATCAGTCATGTTTGCTTAAAAGTGCCAACCAGCAAGAAACCTAGGTCAAGCTGGGCTTCCTATGGCCGATCGCCTCCAACCATCTAATATAATGAAATACTTACATGTGTTTCTGGATGCTGTTTAATGAAACAAAGGCTCAATCAATTCATGAGAACTAATCAGTAGTCCTTTTGCTACCAATCACAACTTTATTCATATATCCATTTGCTTATAAAATTTCTTTTTTAAAACACATATTTCTTTCGTTAAAACACAACCATTTCTAGTCATCATGAAAAGGAAGTTACTTCGGGCTGCAGGTAAACTGACCTATTACAAGGAACGTGTCACTGTTCTACAAGATCAATTGATTCATCAGAAGAAAAATGAAGAAAAATTGATCCGAGTAAGAAAAGTCAAAAATGTGTTAATTTTTTAAAAAACATTTTGATGAACTTCATTTCCTTTATGTAAAACAGGATGTGTACGGTCTCAGGTTGATATATCGACTCATCCTTGTACAGATACTTCAACGATGTCTGGTCATGTAACTTGAAGTCAGTTGGTGGATGGTGACTGACCAGCAGTCGAATCCAACAGGAGAGAAAGCATATGTCGTCCTACTTGGGACTGGATGTATTTTTTAAATTTTTTTGATTACAGCTTGATGCCATACTGTATTTTTGGTACAAGTATGGAATTTTCAGCATGTGATATCGGTAGGTCAAATTTCGCAGGCCGACTATTGATATCGCGTGTGTGTCGGCAGGGGGTCGAACCTCGGACCGTGTGCATGGTCGGCGAGAATCCTAACCACTGTACTTGTATTCTCCAGTGAGCCAGTGATGGTGGTGACATGTCAACCTCAGATCGAGCATTTCAGTCCAATCAGTCGACGGGTAAATCTAAAATTGGATTAAATAATGAATATGACTCGTTGCAAAACAGGCGGGATGGTGGTCTAGTGGATAACACTTTGGTGTTTTAAACTGTGTGCACTGGATTCGAGCGTCTGTGAAGTGAGCATCATCACTGACTCACTGGGTAATGTAGGTAAATCCACTAGCTGATGAGCCAGTCTTAAGTAGGACAAAATACGCATTATCTTGGATTCCACTGCTTGTCAGCCACCACTAACTGATGTAGGTCTTCTGCTATGTAAACGGTAATTGTTATTTTCTGGAGTTACTTTGTGGGGATTCTATTTGTTTACTAAGTTTGGTCACGGACTGGTATCGGTTAGGGAACCACTCTGAAAACCAGCGTGTACTGGATAGATGTTTCTTCAGGCTAATTGAGGCCTCATCGGCAGTATGCACCTGTAGTGCACCAGAACTGGAACCATTTTCCTGTCAGAGTTACTTTTCATATATGGTTAGAGATGGGTCTCCAGCTAACATTGACCTACATTCTTGAAATATTTATGAACGCTTATATAGTCAAAAAAAAATGATATCGCAACAAAGAATAAATATTAATAAAGTAGGATTTTGGTGGATTCACCAAATTTTGATTCAACACGCCAGCTGAATGCTCTACACACAACTGCGCTTGTGGAGCAAGTTATATCGGGCGTGGCTCTAGGAACTTGATTTTTCGCGCTCGCTCTAGAACATCTCCCCCTGGTATTGTTAAATAAAGGTGTAGGGAAAACCACTTAAATCTCGATATTAGACCATCTGGTCCAAAGCAGTCACAAAGCCAGCGTGAAAGAATTCTTCTCTGTCATCTACCGGGTGCCTAATAAAATGCCAAAATCATTGAAGCATCGCATGTTGCAAACAGCAGAGGGTATTGCAATTCGCCTCAAACAACCAGTGCTCTGTGTTCAAAAGAAGCAATTCCAGCCCCTACTACTGTCCTGGCCGCCTTTCAGTAGAAACTATAAACTCATGAATTTGTAATATTATCTTTCCTAATTTCCCTGTCTGACATTCAGCTTATCTTATGTTGATGCTATTCAGCTGTAATCTATGAATATTATTGATTCGATGTTATTTAAACAACAACATTAATGTTGTTCATAACACTAATTCATTCATTCATTCATTCACTATTATGGATGGATAATATATAACTGTAGAGCCTGATGATGAAGGGGTTATTGAAAAGAGTACTCTTTGTTCAGTATCCATTCTTTTGAAAATTTGAATGGGCATTTTTATTCAGTTAATAAGGATATATTAGACGAAACAGAAAGGGAAATATATGACTGATAAACTGATTGTATTATTTTGATTGGGCATTAGTCAGTAACTAGTGTGATGTGTCTTATCTTCCTCCTATCTTTGGTGCAGACTGAATTCTGTCAGTCGAGTTTGCAATGCAGTTACCATGCCAGTAATTGGCTCGACGTCACGGTGCCCTGTGAATTATTCATATTAAGTGGTTGGAGGCAATCGGCAACAAGAAGCCCAGCCTGATGTAGGTTTCGTACTAGATGGCACTCACCAGTCAGCAGGGTTTATCTGGAACCACATTGATGGAATTCTTGTCTCTTCTGAAATTCGAATCCTCGTCACCCTGTATATTGTAAGTGCAACTGATAGAATTCACTCTACACCAAACAAAGAACTAGACACATTACACTAGTTACTGACTAGTCTCCAGTCAAAAGTATCTTTTAAGGCTGTCGCAGATACATCTTACTGAGTGGCAAATTGCACGAAAACTAGATGGAAGGTTTCCTATCGCCGATTGCTTCCAATCATTCTATAAAGATTATATTAAAAAGACATTGGTCAGAAAAATATAATCTTTTCATAACTTCACTGAAAGGTGATCTAGAAAGCCGGAGAAATGATGATAAACGTAATGTCGTGTCATATAATCTAAAACCATTAAGTGATGATTAACGCTCAGAAGTGGTCATCATTATTTTTACGGGTTGATCACGGATCTATATCAGTTAGAGTACCAGTTGTCTCATCCTACTTTGGGAATTATCGGCAATAGGCATCCACCCCACTGTCAGGCTTCGAGCCCAGGATCTTCTGGTTACAAGGCAAGCTAGCTCGAATAACATTCAGCCATTGGGACCTGACTCAATCGCGAGCACATGAACTCTAACTTCTACCAATTTGTGATTTAGCACGACCAATAACCAATGTCGTCGGTGGAACATCCATCCTCACACTTGACTGGATGGATCTCACTGGTCACGAATTCTCACGAATTGGTAGAAGTTAAAATTCATCAGCTGGCGATTGAATCAGGTCTCAGTGGCTGAATGGTATACGAGCCAGCTTGCCTTGTAATCAGAAGGTCCTGGGTTTGAACCCTGACAGTGGGGTAGGTGTGTACTGCCGATGATTGACAAACTAGGCTGAAACGACTGTCCAGTACTCCCTGATTTTCAATGGTTCTCTAACTGACATCAATCCTGCGTGATCAACTCGTAAAAACAAAACTAATCCCTACAAACCAATCATAGTAAGTTATCATTATTAATAAAACTATAAGCTCATGGAAAGAGGAATAGTGTTCACAAGAGTAAGAGATTAATAACACAGTGCACAAATTAAACTTTGAATTTAGGAGTTTAGAGAATCAAATTAAGAGGAAATAAAGGGACCGATTGGATATAGGTTACACACCAAATTATTGTACTGACAAAAAGAAGGAGAAAAACGTTTCCGCCTAATACACTCCTATTTTAGCTTTGTCAAGCCTTCATCGTGTACATGGTTGCTTTTAAAACTGATATACTGAAGGATACAGGCTATTTGGAAGCTGTTAGGACAGTCTTGATTGACACATGCACCTTCAGAACACCTCAGTTAAAATATCTTTCCGTGTCTGTATTTCGTATTCGACTGTGCTATCATAACAGACTTCTCGCGCTCTATTAAACGCTATACTGACTAGGTTCTTTTTATATTGGGTGAGAACAAATCTTTTATAAAGTTTATGTACTGTCTCTTCTATGAAGGATTTCTAAATATGAATCATTTTACAATGCCGTCAATTCTTTTCACTAGAGATTAGTCTGTGCGTCAGTGGTATAGCGGTTAGGACGCTCGCCGACCATGCACATGGTCCGGGGATCGATCCCCGGCCGGCGCACTCCTTTACCTCACTGAGCCAGAAATAATGCTGGTAAAGAGGAAAGGTTGGGCATGAGGCTAGCAACCCCATCCTGTAAAATTAAAAATGAACACTGCTACCGAAACTTCAAGCCACTAGCTTGCGGCCCTATGTTCCACTGGGAACGTGAAGGAAAAAAAAAGAGATTAGTCTAGAAATCTTACAGGATAACGACAGAAGACAACGGCCAGGCAACAGATCATTTATTAAGAAAATCGATAGGTATTTATAAATTTTTATATACATTATTATTAGCGTTATTGTTAGCAGAGAAGCAACGCATTCTGATTGGTTGTTTTCCTGCTGAAGGTTATTCCGTACTGCTTGTGATCGTTTCTTAGAGGGTTAAGCCATATATCCGCGAATTGTATTTGCACACGTTAAGTCTGCTGTGATTGGTTGGTGAGTTCCTCAAGGTTAAGCTTTGTTATTGTTTTTCCTTTCTCATGATCCTGATTCAGGACGTAAATATTGACGTAAATTGTTGTCTACAATTTTGGCTTGTTCGCAGACAGCTCTCATCACAATAGTACCGTTTACCTCATGCTTTATTGTAAAAATAAGATAAGCACGACTTGAAATGAGTTTTGCCAATAAGTTTTTTCTACCCCTGGTTTACTTTCACTGACAATAAAAAAATGTCACCAACACATCTTAGACGGGGATTTTTTCCGTTGTGTATACTATCTAAAGGTGTCAACTTCCAGACTAGATACAAGCCATCCTGTGAAAACAGGGGTCCTAGGAGGCTTCCAACTGTAGTGTCAACAATTTGACACAACAGCTAGCTAGCCACTGTATGAGACTGAACATCCATAGGACATAATAGTAACAACTCCTCGGAGTGTATTGTTGAAACAGAAACCAGTGGAGAAGTAACATGAAACGACACACAATGTTAACCGATTGTATTGGAGTCGAAAATATTACTGACACTTTCTGTAGTTTGGTTTGTAAGGATTAGTTATGTTTTACGGGTTGATCACGGATTGATATCAGTTAGAGAACCATTGAAAACCAGGGAGTACTGGACAGCTGCTGTTTCATCCTAGTTTGGGAATCATCCACAGTACGCACCCACTGGGATTCGAACCCGGGACCTTCTGGTTACAAGGCAAGCTAGTATACCATTCAGTTCAGTGGTTCTCTAACTGATATCAATCCGTGATCAACTCGTAAAACATAACTAATCCTTACACAACCAAACTATAGAAAGTTAATCTGATGCTCACTAGTGACTTGCTACAGGTTGGAGTTTCCTGAGTTCTAGTGAGAAGTCGTGACCAGTGAGGTCCAATTAGATGTCACGTGTGTGGATGGATGTCCCACCAACGACAATGGTTGGGGTCGCGCTAAATCACGAATTAGTAGAAGTTAGAGTTCACGAGCCATTGAATCGGGTCTCAGTGGCTGAATGGTATACGAGCTCGCTAGCCTTGTAACTGGAAGGTCCCGGGTTCGAATCCCAGTGGGTGCGTACTGTGGATGATTCCCAAACTAGGATGAAAGAGCAGCTGTCCAGTACTCCCTGGTTTTCAATGGTTCTCTAACTGATATCAATCCGTGATTAACCCGTAACATATTACTGACACACTGAAGGGAATTGAATGCAGTGTGTGTGTGTGGATTTGGGGAACCAGTAATTACCGATAGCGTTCAAGTTGTTCGTCATGGTTTTCTCCAAAAATAGGATTTTGTATTTTTCATGTTTCCAGTTGTAGATGGGTACAGTGACTTACAGATTTATTGATTATACCTTCATATACCTTCTTTAGCTTCAAGCTGAATATAAAACACAGTCTTTGGATCTTGAGAAAGCTCAAGAACAAGCTTCAAGAGTTCCCTTACTGGAGAAAACAGTGAAACAACAAGAAGATCTAATTTGTCGATTGGAAACATTTTTAGATCGTCAAAGAAGTGAGTCATTGGAGTTATTTTCCAATTACAAGTTAAAATAATTTGTCCGTATGATAAATTAGAATAAGGCATTCAGAAAACAAATTTCACGAGATGATATCATCATTTCGTAGATTCTTTACAACCACTTTACAACTAACATGGTTAACAATATGAGAATAAAAGGCATGACAATTACTCAGTTAAATTAAAAACAAAAGTACATACTAATGACCAATCATATTTAAATAGGTCAAATAGTCAGTCCATGGTAGGCGAAGGTTGAAGTCTATTGTTTTTTTGTACATGTAGTTTAGGATGCATGTGATTAATCCCTGAAAGTGCTTCCATCACCTTCAATAACCAACCTTGAATTAGAGTTATGTGATGAAATAATTGTGAAACAGTCATTATTATTGATTTTGTGACCTGACATTAATGAGTGTTTCTCAATGGATGATTCTGGATTTCTATTAAGATTAATCGCATTGAGATTTTCTATGTGTCTTAATAACCACTTCGGAACATGTTCTTTTCGACCACGACGTTGGAACATTCTATTGTTTCTACACCTATATAAGGTCACCACAAATGCAGATGAACTTGTTGATACAGTTTTGAAGTAGAGTTCACAGAATTTCGTTCTATAATCGTGTATGTACAGGGATCAAAAATGTTGAGCATGGGAGAAAAAGAGACGTGGCGTACAATGAGTATTTGATTGCAGACCAAGAGTGACCAGATTATGCAGTTGACAGCTCAAAGACTTCGGTCAGCCATCAAACTCACATTCTACGCCACATCTCTTTTTCTCCCATGCTCAACATTTTTGATCCCTGTACATACACGATTATAGAACGAAATTCTGTGAACTCTACTTCAAAACTGTATCAACAAGTTCATCTGCATTTGTGGTGACCTTATATAGGTGTAGAAACAATAGAATGTTCCAACGTCGTGGTCGAAAAGAACATGTTCCGAAGTGGTTATTAAGACACATAGAAAATCTCAATGCGATTAATCTTAATAGAAATCCAGAATCATCCATTGAGAAACACTCATTAATGTCAGGTCACAAAATCAATAATAATGACTGTTTCACAATTATTTCATCACATAACTCTAATTCAAGGTTGGTTATTGAAGGTGATGGAAGCACTTTCAGGGATTAATCACATGCATCCTAAACTACATGTACAAAAAAACAATAGACTTCAACCTTCGCCTACCATGGACTGACTATTTGACCTATTTAAATATGATTGGTCATTAGTATGTACTTTTGTTTTTAATTTAACTGAGTAATTGTCATGCCTTTTATTCTCATATTGTTAACCATGTTAGTTGTAAAGTGGTTGTAAAGAATCTACGAAATGATGATATCATCTCGCGAAATTTGTTTTCTGAATGCCTTATTCAAGTTACAAGTTAGAAATCCGAAGTTAGATTGAAATAAATAAGTGTAGTAGTTAATTGTTAAGTTGTAAAAAATTATATTTGTAAAATCTCAGCGATATTGAAATGAGTAATTCCAACGTTTCGTTCGTTCGGCAATCTGGTCTGAACTTCTTCAGGGAAATTAATCGAAATTAGACATAACAGAGGTTTATATATAGAAGGAACATCTCTTGTTTTTAAAAACTTACAAATATAATTTTTTTTTTACAAATGTCTACTCCTCACTCGGCGCCTAAATATTTTAGAACTATTCTGTCAAATTTTGACTCCAGTTCATTTGGTTTAATTGTTAACTATTGAATCAAGGTCATTTCAAACTTCTAGTCTTGTCTTTTTCAGTCAACAGTGTGTAGAGTATCAGAAAGGTAAGACTTTTATTATGCATTTATATATGAATCGTTCGTCTGACAGAAAAATGAAACTGCAGGTAACACTTTTCTGTATTTTGGAAAGTATTTAAGCGTTTTAATTCTTCTTCTGTGCGTCGGTGGCACAGTGGTTAGGACTCTCGCCGACCATGCACATGGTCCGGGGTTCGATCCCCTACCGACGCACACCTGATATCTATGGTCGGCCTGCGAAATTTGGGCTACCGATATCCACGCTGAAAATTCCATACTTGTACCAAAAATACGCTGTGGAATCAAGCTGTAATCAAAAATAAAAAAAAAAATAAAAAAATTCTTCTTCTTCTGGGTTCTGAGTGGAACAAAGGGCTTCACCAACACATCTCCACTTTCTTCTCTTTCCTGCTGTCCTTTTCACCTGGTCAGGGCTCACCCATCGCCCATAATTTCTTATCTCTTCCTCCCCAAACGATCTCATCCAGTGTCACGCTTGTATTAACGACCCATTCGTCGCCTCCCCCATTCGGATTCAACTCACACAGGGGCCTGTATTGCATACGATATCATTCGGTGACACCTTCTCAGTGTGTGTGCTCGATGCACCTCCATTTTCTTTTACATATTTGCTGAGCGATCGGCTCTAGCTTGGTTTGTTCCACTGCAGAGTTTCTTGTTGGTGATTCTTCCTCGCTGATCATTTAACCTTCACTATGGAGTCATCAGAGGCAGCTGTTTGCACTGGCCTGTTGAAAAATTCCTTTGCATGACCTGCCGAATTCCTGGGATGCAAACAAGAACTGACTAAATGACTAAATATATGTGTTGAACAAAATTCAAATTTTGTTCTCCATTCCATTTGGTCGGTTGAGTGATGGAGAAAAAATTTTATAACTGGTTTCTGGTTCTGACTGGCTGGTTCTGACATCTTTATCAGTTTCGGCTGCCTGTGTTTGAAACCTTGCTTCCTGGTCAGATAAGTGAAGGGAGGAATCTCTGAAAAATTTCTCCCCGTTGATGATGATTGGTGCTGGTTGTTGTCACTGTTGCAGTTGGTGCTTGAGTATCTGCATCACACGTCCGTCTTTTCTATGTTCACCTGGAGTTGGTTTTGTCTTCTCTGCACTGCCTGATTCTTCTGCCAGTTTGTTGGTTTCACCTACCTGCAAGTATTTGAGTTTCTGTGGATCACCTGACGCGTGGCGAGCATCGTCATATAGGCAGCTGTAAGATGTGATTGATAAAGATTTGAGCATTGCACGCCATAAAGTGTTGAACTAGTTTCTAAATTACTTCTCCGTCAAGACTGTTTGTCGTAGGTCTTTTCGAAGTCGATGAAAGAAGTTGAGGTAGAGAGTGATGGTTGACTGCTATTCTACGCTTTGTTCGATGATGGTGATGATGATGATGCGTGGAGTTGCGATTTGATCAGCATATATATATATATATATATATATATATATATATATATATCTATATATATAGGATTTGTAGACAGCTGATAGTTCGTCAGAGAATTCTTACTAGCAGCTGACATGAAAATAGACTGGCCATTTCAGCCCAATAAACATAAATCCGAAGCAACGTAAGTGTTCTTTTTCACGACCTATTTAAAGATAAATTTATCACCTTAAATAGTTAAAAAAAATTAGCTTATTCATTAACGAAGTTGTAGTAAATCAGGTTTTAGAATTTTAGTATTCTGCACAGATAGTTGTAAAAGAATCCATTTGTGCATTCTTTCAAACACTTTTGCCTAACACGTTCTTATGGGTTAAAATCACATGGCTTAATATCCGGCCATCTGATCTTGAGTAGTATTGAGCAAAGACAACTGTTAATGAAAATCTGCAGTTTGTTCGAAGTGCCCCTCATGACACAGCGTGGCGCTAAGTCTCTGATCCGTAGCACTGACTTCACATTGGAGTCGAAAATCCAGATCTTATTTTCATTTTCATCCTGAGAAGTGCTATTGATCTCCACATAGACTTGAGAGTAATGAAAGCTTGTCTTGCTTTCCCAATCCTCACTTGGGTATCCTCATCAGTAGGCCAATATTGAAAAGATTTCAGAAATCACAAACAACGTCTAGTATTATATATATCCAAACCAAGTTCACTTTTAACGGTTTGAAAAAATTTGGGCATTGGGTATATGATATTCATTATAATAGAGGTTTTTTTTGTATTTCCCAATGAATGAAAAAAGCAAAACGATATTGTTTTTACTGACGTTTCGCTATTTAATGCTAATAGCTTTCTCAAAGTATTATTAAACCGGAATTTACAAAATCCACTCAGCATATATATAACAAAGAATTAGAGGGTGAGAAAAATATAGACTTAGTTCAACTTAAAAGGACATATTGAAAGTCAAAATAACAATGAAGATCGTTCAAACCAAATATCAAAGGTAATAGTATATCTGTTATTATATCAAAATAAAGTTTACTAACTTGATCATCGTTCGTTAGTCTGGGGTCATTTTTGGTTGTCAAGTTCGAGAATAGGTAAAGGTAACCAAACTAAGTGTAGAATGTGAAATACTTGATTATCGTTCGTCAGTATGAGGTCATTTTGGTTGTCACGTTGAGGAATAGGTAAAGGTAACTAAACTAAGTGTAGGCTGTGAAATACTTGATCATCATTCGTCAGTCTGGGTCGTTTTTTGTTGTCAAGTTAGCGAACTGGTAAAGATAGTAAAACCAAGTGTAGATTGTTGGATTTTGTCAGTGTGTAGAATTACGAAAGAAGTGTGCGTTTACATAGTGAACTTGCTCACCACATTTGCGTTGATTTTGCTACTTCATGGGGGAGGGTGTTGTAGCCAGGTTAGATTTTGTTTCAGTCCATCATTCCTATTCAGGCAATTTGGATTCCACTTGATATGAAGTGCTTCTGATATTAGACGTTCTTTGTGGTTTCTAAAGTTTTTCTGGATTATTTCAATATTGTCAAAATCAATTTTGTGGCCTAATTCTATAGCATGTAGACCTATGGCTGATGACTTTTGAAGTTTTTCTAGTTCAACTGGATTTCTTGGTGGTCGAAGAGAAGCTCTACGGTGTTCATTTTTTCTGATTTTGATTTCTCGAGATGTTTGTCCGATGTAGATCGCATCCATATAAAAGACCGAATCCCGAAAGATTCTCAATCGAATTGTGTCTATAAAATAAAATGCTTGGAATGTGATGCGATACGATATACATCGGACAAACAT